AGCTACTAGTTTCCTTGCGCTCACATTTCATGGAGCAGCCATTCAGCTATCGTGTACTCTAGCACAGGGAGAGCCAGTGAAACTGGGGGACCCCAAGTCATGTACATGTGAACACCTGCTTACGCAGCTTCCTACCCTGTAGGACAACTCCAACAACAGCCACAGTAGGAATCAAAGAGAGGAATCCATTTTCCCTTGCACATCTACTGTTTGGCTATCCAGCTTCATTAAAGCTGATGCATGAGGAGACTGCAGAAGCAGGGAAGAGAACAGGAATCCATGAATACTGTTCCTAAAAATGCTGCATTCCAGAGCCTTCATCCCAGCTTCCATACAGAATCATAGACTAGTTAGGGTTGGAAAGGACCTTTAGATCATCTAGTTCCAACCCCCTGCCATGAGCAGGGACACCACACACTAAGCTATGTCACCCAAGGCTCTGTCCAGCCTGGCCTTGAACAAGAGGAGGTTAGGAAGGAGGCACAATTTTCATCATCCTGTTCTAGCTCTTGCTCCACCCTGCACACAGTTATGAGTATCCAGGGGGAGGGGAAGACAGGGCTGATATCCACCTCTCCATTCAGACAAATGGAGAAAGTGGGTGGGAAGCAATGTGGGAGTAATGCAGAACAGCTCCTCTCACACTCTCACACAAAGACAGGAAGGTAGGAAAGCAGACATGGAAAAAGAAGACCAAAAAGTGCAGTCACATTCCTCCTTCCTGTATGGCAGCTTTGGCTCCCTTAAAAATAAAAGCAAGCTGGAAAGCCCTGCTGGCCTTTGGCAGCGGGAAAACAGCTTCCAACAACTTCTTAAAAGACACTATAGTATCTTACTCAATTTAAAAACACATAATCAGACCCAGGAAGCTTTATCCCTCTGTGGCATTTTACAGCACAGTTCTATGGGCCTCACTTGGAGGAAGGATAAACAAGGACTAATTTCTTTCCTTTTCTGCTATAAAGCCTCAGCTGACTTGCAGTTACATTCTCACTGCTTTCACAGGGCAATGGTTTTCTGTAAAAGAAACTTCCATGAACTTAAAGAATAAGCAGCTTCCTGTACGTACTTCAGTTAAAATCCCTTCTGCATAGCTAGCGATCCCTTCGCTTTCCCTGACCCAACTTCAAGCATACCAAATGAAATACAGAATGGAAGCTGCTTTGCCCTCTCAGTGGAGCTCACTTTACCACACTTCTGATGTGACAATTACAAGTTTGAAATTATACTAGAAAAATTATTAAAGATAAAGCTACTCATAAAATCCTGCTCACAAATGCCTTTACTATTTACTAGAGAAATATTTGAGCTCTTAAAAGAATTCTAGCACTCTTAAATCATTCCAGAGCCCTTGCTATCAGAGCAAATAAAAGGTATGAATGCTAACTGCAATATCAATGTTCTATTTTTACAATACATTTTTAAGATGTGTTTAGCAAGGTAGCTTCTTAAAAGCTGTTCACATTTGAGCTGGGCCAGTACTGACTGCATTCTTATACTTCCACAGAACCATGTACCAACCCTGTTAGCACAGTGCCGCTTCCAAGATTTTAGCTGCATTGCACCAGTGAAATCGGGTTACTAGAGGCTAAGCAGAATTGAAGTTTCTTTTACTGCCTTCTAGAAACTGTCAAGGGTAATTCATGTATGAATACTCGTAACTGAAAGCTGGGCAACTCACAGCTGTAACTTTTACCATCATTTTGATGTGACACCAAATACATTAATAAAAGCTGAGCCATGCTGAGGTACTATAGAAGACTTGGAAAATTGTTTACGGATACAAAATTCAGACTGTGCCTGTCAAAACAGCTTCTCCTAACAGTGACTTTCTTTAACACGTAAGTATTTAGCTTCCTACTTTCTGTAACCAGATCCTTACTGCCATCTGGAGTTCACACTTTCCAGTTTTAGACCCTCAGATTTGAGGGGTCTCCAAAGGGATAAGTAAACTGACTATCCAGAAATTATAAGGGTAGTATGAGGTTGCTCATCATACCTTCTGTCCTGCTATAACAACACGATCTCCCAGTTTCAGGCCAAGCGATAGAAGCATGGCCTTGCCTGTGACATGGTCATAGTTTGGAATCATGGCTTTCGAGATGTCACACGAGAGAGGCACTGCATCGAGCAGTATCTGCTTGATTTCTTTTGCACTGGCTGCTGCATCTGCCATTTCCAGTGGCATATCTACTGGATCAGGAACCACATCTGCTGGAATCTGCCCTTTGTCATTCTGTAGAAACATAACAGACCAAAGGATTTAATGTTGTGACACGATAAACCTGATCAGGCAAAACCATAGCAGTTTATGAAAGTTTTTAATCCTCTTTATTAGCTACCTTTTCCTAGAATACAAATGACTATAAAAACATCCACATTTTCAAATAAAGATGCCAAAACATCCTTAGATATATAAACTAGCATTTACTGTGTCCCATTTTCAAAAGTTACTGAATCCTAAGAACATTATTAGTATTCAGAACACATGAAAAAACAAAACACTGTATCTATCTGTGTGAATGAACACAGACTTAGGAAAGTAAGCAGGAATTCTGGTCTGTAATGCCAATAATGTAAAGCTAACACCTCCCAAAGAATTTATTTTTGCCCTGTGCATAGTTTACTCCTTAGTGAGGCTTATTCCAAATACAAGAGACAATTAACACATGTTGCATGTATAAAATACATAAAGTTGATATCCCACATAAATACTTGAATAAATCTGCAGGTTTATTTAGACACAGACTATTCCATGAGAGATGAATTAAGGACAGAGCCCTTTCCAAGCACTTCCCATTCACAGAGAGCAGCGATGACTCCCCATATGTCCCATGCGACACTTGCCCGAGCAAAGACATTAGTGTGGATCTGTGCCTATCTGCCAGTTGCTCTAAGGTTGTGGAAATGTAATTATCTCTGTCTTCCAAATTTGACTCAACTGAGCTCCAGGACTCAGAAATTACCAGAAGCTCGAAGAGGGAATGACAAAGAGCAAAACTGTATTTTCTTTGTTTCCTCAAAAAACAGACTACAAGTTCAGCCTTCCCTGAGCCACTCGAAAATCTCCGTATCTCAACTCTAGAAAAACACCAATCCTTACTCAGCATTTACACTCTGCTGTCCTCATGTAAGCAAACTCTACCCGCTGCCTCTGGTCAGAACTCTACTCCAGGATTGAAACTCATTAAACACCAGCTACTCCTTAAAAACCTACATTCATTCTTTAAGTAAAAGTTAGCTTCATTCAAGTCACAGTGCCTTAAAACCAGGATACAGCTGGGTTAAAGCTGAGCAGGGAGTTTGCTGTTACTTTTTAGCCACCACATTAGTGATTGTTTCAGTCACACCAGTCCCACAATCCAGCCCCCCAGGTCCCCCACAGATCTCTGTGTCAGCACAAGGCAGGGGCAGAACAGAGGCAAGAAAGGAAAAGTGGGCACATGGACACCGGATTGCTTTTCTCAAGGGCAGAGCCACCTTCTGACCACTCAGAATGCTTGTGCAACTACAAAGCAGTACTCCCTGCAACGACAGACTCTTAAACATGCAGCTGCCCTAGAATCTGAAACAAGTACATGCACAAGAATAATGAGACAAAGAAAACAAAAACCAGTGGTTTTGAAGAGATCTAGACTGAGTATCATGACAAACTGTATGAACCGTATGAACAGTGATGTTCCAGATTTCAAACCATGACACATGACTTTTGAGTACACTTAAAACCACTCTATTTTCTCATTTAAAAATTAATTTGAAAATGGAGAACAGATACTGCCTGGGCTGCAAAAAACAAAAAAAAGAAAAAAAAAAAAAAAGGAAAAAAAAATCCACCAAAAATCACCACCACAACAAAAACCAAAACCAACACAAAACCCCACCCTAAGTCCCCTCTCTTCCAAAAATAACATATAAACCCCAAGACCTGTGGCTATACCCATATAGCAGCACTTTATACTACCACTCAGGCCTATTATTTGGTTAGTAAGCAGAGCAATTAATGGTTTTTTCATTATCCAAGCACTAAACAGAACATCTTGAAAGCTTTTTGAACTAATGAACTAGATCGTGACACACAAATACAAACTTCAACACACAAGTATGACAAAGCTTGTAAAATCATGCACTATGAGTTATAAATGTTTTTCTCCCAGGCACTGTTGCTCCATGTAACACATTTTTAGCTAACCAAAACCCTGGACAGATTGTTCAGTTTTTCCAGGTACGTTTTTCACCTTTTGGTTAATCTACAACCTAACTCCTTACCCTAAAGGCAGGATTTGCTCCATGCTCCAGTAAACACTTGACAGCTCCTGTACATAGGTTAAATGCAGCAATATGCAAAGCTGTTCCAAAATCAAAATCACTACAGGTGGCATCCACATCTGCAATGGAACATCACAGGTGAGGAAAGTTAAGTCTGTTACATGAACATTTCACCCTACAGATTCCTTGAAAGGACATTCATTTTTATAGTTTATGTTAACATTTATACAGAGACACCATTACTTATGCACTAAATGCATATAAGAAATAATTCTACATAGAATACAAACCTTATCTGCATCTGTTTATTCATACCATGAACCAATCTGGAAGATGAGCATTTACTTTCATTCATTTTATAATACTGATGACTTAACTGCAAAATTGTTGCAATGCAGGATGCCCAATCTACTGTGCTAACTTCATAACTTTATGTTTGTATGTGAATTAATGTTTCAGAAATTTGTATTTTATTGCTCCTAGGTGTCAAACTTTAAAATGAGATGTATCTCCAACCAGTTGTTTTCCTTTGTGAGCAGGCAGTGGGGCAAGGGAAAACGACCACACTTCTGCTTTACACTAATTCAGTTATGAATGGGCAAGATGGAAGTAAGAGCTATCCATTTTTATCTTTCAAATAAATTTTGTTCTCAAAAAATTGCTCTCCACAAGGTATTGCACTGATAGCTCAGAAAACGGAGCACTGCATTTGACTACAAGAGAGGTAGCATAACATATCTTTCAATCTGCTATGAAGTTATTACTGTTCTAGAAGATAGGAGTTTTAATGTCTATTTAGTCTTGGACTCCTCTCCTAAACTACACAAGAAAGATATCAGTTTGAGTCAATTATGTATATGACCCTGAATTAAAAACGCCAGCTGATTTAATACACAAACCAAAAGCCAACAAGTATTAGCAATAATGTTCCAATCTGAAATAACTGGTAAGAAACATAAAACTTTCCACGCGAGGGCTATACAGTCTCCCAGTATTTTCCAGCATCAGTCTCTGGCCCAGAAACCACAAGTCCTTCCCATAATGTGATAAACAAAGTATATCCCAACTATATCAACATCCTCATGTATTTATACTAAATTAGTATTTTGGGGGCAAATAAAACATATATATAGGAGATAGATAAATATGTATGTCTGTAATATGTCAACTTTATATATACCAATAAAGACTGACTCTGAATTTTATGGATACCTTTTATATACCAAATGTCAAAAGACCATCACCAGTTTAAAACTGAATAGAAGCTGTGTAGTTGTATCTAACCAATAAAACTTCCATGTTTAATAAGGCTATCAAGAAGGTATTTTCTGCACACGTGGGAACCAACCTGTAGGAAAACGGATCATTACTGTCAGCTACTGAGTCAGCAACAGCTGCTTTTAAAGAGTAACTGATGTGTAGATGCTTTGTTATTTTTTTTAATTAGGCTAGTGCAACTTCCTCAGATTTGCGAGCTTTGTGCATGGAGTATTTAACACAGTTTTCTTACAGCTTTGTTTTAGGTCTAAGCTGGCATAGTACAGGTGACAAAAAGAAACACATATATATCAAATTTTAGCCAGTAACTACCCAGAAACTCTCTCAGGGAAATTAATACACAGCAACGATCTGTCATTAGCAACCCATGCAGGTTACAGTTGTTATCTAATGGCACCTCACACTGCTAATTCTTAAGCCTTTAACAATCTTTATACTTAAAACCTCTAAAAATCTAAGAACAAGCTAGCTCTCTGCTGTAACAATAGAGGAGTAAACCTGTACCAAAAATTTAACTGCAGAGCCTCATAAAGGAAATAGATGAGCAGTAAATCAAAAGGAAACATCTGTGGTACTGGCTGTTTCACATAGGGTCTCTCAGGGTCAGTATACACTGTCTTAACAAGTTCTGAATATATTAACCATTTTTTCTCCAGTTCAGTATGGATCCATCCAAGGCATATTTGCCTTCTACAAACATCCTCCCTTCTCTGCAAATTGCCTGATGAAGTACAGAGCTAAGATTATTCCTTCTATTAATTCAGACCATGCATTATTTTCACGTCATAGGGCAAATCAATTTATACATTTTCTGAGATAAACAAATGTTCTTTTATTATATTCAAGACCTGCCAACTGCCAAGGCATTTAACCAGAGCGGTTTCCTTGGAAATCTGAGCAAATTCCCGCTCCTTTTGTAGGCACTGCACAGGAGGAGATGGGAACACCAAATGCAAATGAGGTCTAAAAGAAGACCTGATCTGCTGATGCAAATTATAGAGCCTGGACTACTGAAAGGTGATATGGACTTAACCAGTGTGCAGTCTTACTTTGTCTTTGGTTATAAACCTACGCATGTTACCTCTTAAGGTATGTCACAGCAGTAACAGTGCTGTTAAGTAATTACCTCCATGATGATTCAGGATGTGGTAAGCAAGCCTTGAGTACTCCAAAAGCCTATCAGCTTTTCAGAATTTTGAGACAGGTTTTAGCTAGAGCTAGCTAAAAAAGGACATAAATCATTCTGCAAAACGCCACAATCAGAAGGATATCCAGTAATGCAAATTAACATTTGCACCATTTTAGTATTAAAATTACTTACTGGTTTTGATATCCTGACCAAATGAGGAACAAATGGTTCTGGGTCAGAACCACTTCTGTATCTCTATTTACATTAGCATAAAGAGGGCTCCAATTACCAGTCCTTCCTATTATCATTTCAAAAGGTATTATCTATTCATGCCAAACACTAAAGTCAAGCTTTTCATTACACACAACCTTCTACATAGACAAGAAGTGGGAAACACAAGCACATCAATGTTGCTTCAGTCACTAGTTTGCCACATGCCATCACCAAACCCCCATTCCTCCTTTACCCTTCTCACAGCATTTCAAACATATTTCTCAACGTTTAAGGAATCTTTAAAACCCTAAGAATTTACCAGAATAGTTACATCTTTGGGTTTCTGCATACGTTCTCTTGGTCCTCAACAACTTAAAATTAACCTATTTTATTTCTGTTATGCTTTTCTACCATCTTGTACAAAGCTCAAGTTTAAGAAGCAGCAACAGAATCAGTGGAATAAGTCACCAGAAAGAACAGGTTAAGAGAAAATACAAACCGAGGAAGCAGACTAAAAAAAATAAGAAATTCAAAACTATATATGTATAATGGATAAACAAACCCCACGCTTAAAGACCACTACACACCAGCTTAGGGTCAACAGAGAACCAAATATGGACAACTACGTGAAACTAAAGTAACAAGGCCTACCTTTCGGCTTTGCATTTTTCAAAATAACACTAATAAGTTCTGGAACATCAAAGTAGGCAGCATAGTGCAAGGCATTCATGTTTGTCCAGCGGCTGCGTAAACTGCTATCAGCACCCAAATCAATGAGCTGTGTTGCAAATTTTACAGCGGTTTCAACATCACCTGCAAGGTTAATTTGCTGGATTAGAGATGGATCTGACCTCAAAAAACACGCCCAAGCTGATGTGCAACACATAATGAACATTACGATGTATGGCAGAATAATTACTATGCCTTTCTTTTTAGGATTAGGATGCAGAAATCTTTGCCTTTTATCATAAAGGGCTCAAATCTCTACTACAGTATATAGTAATACTACCTGTTTATCTTTAATGTAAATAACGTCACCCATCAAGATCAGGGATCTTAGTATTTAATAAAGGAAAAAAACCCACTGCACACCACAATGCTGAAGTTATGTTAAAAGATCTGCCAACACCAGAAAGCGAACCTATGCCAGACCTCACTCAGAAACTTAGCTTAAACTCAGAGGAGAACTGGGTTCAGGTCAGCAAAAAGGTAGCACAACATATCAAAACTAACAGGGTTGTTCAAACAGAGTTAAATATGATGTATTTTCAGTACTTCTGGTCATAACAATGCAAAGATAATTGTTTTCTTCTGACATGCTCAGGATTAGAGAAAAAAAAAGAACAGTCACCTGAACATTCTAGTTTCACTCATGATTGCACCTCAGTCTGAAAATTGCCTTTACGATGTTAAATGTATGTTTAAACTGGTACGATTGTTTGCAATTACCACTAACTCAAGTTATGCCACAGACATAACTGTGCTACAGCTCTGTATCTTCATTTCTGAAGGCCACTAGAAGAACCAAAACCAAGCACTAAACCAAAAATCTACTGCAAGCAAAAATTCTGTAATAGTCTGTGGGATTAGCCTTTGTCAATTAATTAAGGATTTACATCTATAACGGCATTTCTTTACTCACCAATACCATGAGCCCCCGATTTGCAAGTGTAATGCAAGAGAGTCATATCAGTCAGTCCATCTCTGTCATTCACATTGCAACCCCTTTTAATGATCTGACAGACAAATGGAAAACAAGCACATTTTAGCTTTGGCATATCTCCAACGTCTGTATTATTTAGTAAGTTACTTCAGATATATTGACTCCTGGATTCATTTTAATGGCTAATAACAAAGAAGCCTGCCAGAATAGACTGTAACTGCAGGACTGAGCAACATGCAGAAATGCAATAAATAGCATTATATGAATATCATTAACCTTCATTGTTCAGATTTTAAAGCTGCTATATATCATTACTTCTAACATAAATTTCACATGCTGAAAGGTTAACTGCTTAACTGAACAATAGGAAAATGACATTGTTTATGAAGTCTCTCTCCCTTTGTTCTCTGACCTCTCAACAATCCTCCCCCCCCAAAAGAAACCCCCGGTTTTACTATGGTAGGAAGAATCTTTACTATACTCCCCTCCTGCCTAGAGAAGTCTGTAATTCAGAAGAATAAGAAGAGTAAGAAAGGATGGAATTACTGGAAACAAGGCGACTTCTGAAAGTAGACAACTGCAGGTTGCAAATATATTTCAGTTCCTAATTAATTTTGTGCCTTGGAAACACTGCCCTTGAGGTCAAGCTTCACTGTAACTTCCTATATTGGAGTTCAAGATTACTGCTAAGTAACTGAAACACCAAGGGTCTCTGAACAACTGCTTTAAGAAACGTTGTTCCTGCCATCTATCCAAATGTACTGAATTTTTATGCATCATCTTTCTCTTTCCAAATGAAAGCTGACAGCATGTGGAATACAAGACACTCATCAGTATATACTTGTTAAAAGGCAGAAACTGCATCTGCATTTAGGATTAGTTCCATTTTGAATGAACTATTTTTATTTGCTATCACCATTGTTCTTCAACACTGAAAGCATTCAAAGATCTTCATTTATACTTCACCTCATTCCCAATAATATCAATATTCTGCTGGACCTGTGGAACCCACTGCCGTAAGATAGCAAACAATTCAGAAACTGATGTTTTTGGGTTGAAAAGTATTTCTTGACATGCTGCATCATTTGGATCGAAGAAGGAAAACTCTGTTTAAAAAAAAAAAAAAAGGAATCATTAGGTACAATTGTAAGTTTTAATGTTAATTTAGTTTTTCAAACTCAGAGGCAAAAAGAAAAGCCAGCAGAGAGAGTCACTTCACTACTAATCACACTGGAAAATCAATGTTGAATTAATTTGGAAAATTTTCTTTAAGATCTGGTCTATTTTTCCTTTAATACTAAGGTCTTTCTTACACTTCTGAAAAAGCTTTGAATGAGCAACCAGTACAATGGTACTGCAAGATTGAGTTTAAGTTTAGGCAAAGACCAACAGAGATGTGCAGTGATGATGCTAATAAGGGCTTTCTCTTGCTTCAAGCTAGCCAAAGACTGCTGATTCTAAGCTGCCCCAAGAACACATAAGCCTCTTGATCTCCCAGTGATTAAACTTATACACGATTTCTCTGTTTGCTACAAAACATGTCTTTTCCTCCTTCTTCCCTCACAATTTACATAAGACATAACAAAATATCAACACATGCACAAATCAGGCCAGCATTCTATGGCCTTCCTTATTTTCAGAAAGTTCACAAATGTACCAATCCCAGCTGATGGCAGCTGCAGGTAAAAAATATCTTTAAAAATTAAGCCACTGAACCAAGATCAGAAAAAATATCTATTTTTTAGATTTTAAGCTTCACATCACTTCAGGCAACCCAAAGTACAGGTGTGAAAACCACCTCGTTATTACAGCATAATATTTCATGTTCCTTACATCTGTGTGTGCATGTATATACACATACTGTACTTTAAATTTGCGGAATTTCTTCCAACTCTGGAAAATTCCGTGAAAGAATCTGGATAGCAACAGCTACTAGGAGAGGGAATGGGAGCAGAATCTACTCTCATCAGCAAATGACTGAATCATGGAAAAGACTGAACTTTTAACCCCCCCTGTAGCTATCAGGGAGTTGCCTTTTTAAAAGGTTTCAAATGAATGCACAATGTCAGCTTGCATCAATCACAGATAGAAGGCTCTCAGAACACACATGCAGCTTAAGTAAAATAGAACATCTAGGTGTATGGCATGGTGTAAAGCACCTCTGAATGAATCATCATAACCTTGCCTCAGAAGGAGCATACCACACTTCTAGATTCGATTAACAGGTAAAAGCATAAATGGAGCTTGCTACCTGGAGTTCTTCTAACTGCATTGCCTTGATTCAACAAGAATGAAAATGAGAACAACTTCACTGATACTTATGTATGCATCTAGCATACAAAAACCCCAAACGCCTTATCTCCCAGCACTGCACAAAATGCACTTCTTACCTACGTCCCACGCGCTGACACAGATGTACCGATTTATTTATATTTGACTTCCATATAAACCACAGCTGACCTACTGCTGAAAGCTATGAAGTAAACAGACAACTGAGCAACTTGATCTAGTTGAAGATGTCCCTGCTCTCTTATCATATCATATTCTATGATTCTGTGAACTAACCAACACAATCTTACACAACATGCATAATTCTTACCCTACCATGAAGGTTTCTAGCTGCAAACCTGAGCCAAGTTATTTATCAGAAATCAACTCTAGCAGACTCTTAAAATCAGCATGCTAAGGTAAAACACCTGAGAACATGTTAAGTATTAATAACAACCATTGCAAGTGCTTAACAGGGATCAGCTGTAGTGTTTGCAAACCAAAGAAATGTTACAGAAAATCTGTTAAAACATAAAACTCCATGAAAGTATGACATTAACATCTACATACTTTAAAACATTACTTTTTCCACCTCCTTCTCATGCATCGATCACAACTGTGTTAAGGAAAAATAAATGCACTTAATGTAATGACCAAGAATCTCTTCCTGTGCTGGTTCAAACTTCTTTACCCAAATTCTCTAATATTACTGTTACACAGGTGACAGTCACCTCCTATAAAAGCAATTTTTTTGTATTCAGTGAGAAGGCACAGACCAGGTAGGACAGGTAACAGTGATACTACAGTGTTGTTACAAGATAGCACAGCACAAAAATATTTAAAGAATGGCAAATGAAAAAATTTTCAAAGGTGTAAGAGAGCAAGAACAGAAAAGATTTTGGCAGTACACAGAGTAGAACAGGATGGAGAAGTTATGAGAACAGAGCTAAACCATGTAAAGACACATGCTGTGTACTAGAATATATTGTATTGAACTGCTGAATTTCCAACTTGTGCTAACTCATCAAATGAGTCTCAAGAATGCTGAGTCTGTCAAAGACTGAATATTACATATATTTATGTTTCCTGAATATAGTTGATTGCTGTAACCAATGCCGGGGGGGGGGGGGGGGGGGAGGGGGGGGGGGGAAGAGAGAGAGATGGAGGCAGTAGTTTATAAGTTATACAGATGCTTATTAACATCATGTGCAATATTCAAAGACATTACAATTGTAGCTTTCTATGAAGATCCCTATCTAGCGACATTTAAATGTTATATATCCTGCTTAAAATATTGTAATTTAAGAAGCCAGTTCAACATTATTTCAAAAGCTGATCACTTGACACTTGCTAGAATTTTCTAACACTCATTTCACAGAACTTACCACCACATACATCTACACTTCGAACAGAAATACCCTCCATAGTCTACTGTTTACATACTGAAAGCACAAGAAAAAGTGTACCTCTGGAGGTTTTAAACATGATGTGGATGCTTAATTACATTAAATGACTGCAATCTTGCATCTTAACACAATATCCAGTTGTACACTGAGACGCAAAAAGCCTAAAAACATCTAACCACACAGACACGCAGAAGAAACAGAAGAAAAAAATATTACAATTTAAATGTGATGCAATTAAAAAAAAACAGAAAAAGTGTGGGTCTTCATCTTTCATTTCCCTCAAAAATAATAAGAGAATTTATTTAATAAGCAGTAAACTTTTTCTGAAAATAAAGAGTAATTTAAGAGTTGATAGCTTTTCTTAAAATTTATTACGCAAATCTATTCTCTGCTGATCACAACTTTATTTTCTGTTCAAAGTACATACCACAGTCTGAAGGCATCGGTGCTGCAGCAACAGAAAAAGTAACAGATGTTTCCGAGTTTAAGAACCTTTCTCTTTCAATGAGGGAGTCTCCTTCTAAGGAAGGTTCTGGGAGATCCTCTATAGTCATCTTCTATAAGCCACTTTAGGAGGGAAAAAAAATAATAACCTCATTAGAAATACTTCAGATTAGTTCTATCGTAGTATGATATGCAATGAGAGTAAAATCTTTCCTTTTTGCAAGCACAAACTATTCCTATTTACATTCTTGCAAACTAATACAGTGAATTAGTAAAAGCTAGTAGAGTATGGTGTCAAGGACAGTCAACTTCTAGTTTGGACTTCATCACTAAACTTGCATGTTATTAATGGAAAATATGGTATTTCCCCCCCAGTTTTCCTCTTGAGCAGTAATGAAAAATGAGCAACCACATGGTGATGATGAATGGATTAGTGTGTTTTGCAGCTTTATGAAAATGTAAAGCATAAAGTACCTGTGCTCATAATCTGCATGCATATTCCTTTCCTTTACCATGAGCAAGAACATGCTACCAGCTACCGCTCTCTCCTCTTTACAGATTCTCAGCTTTCATCTTCCCACGCAAAGCTGCAGACAATTCATCACTAAGTGACTCACTCCTGGACTCATGATTCCGTATCAGCTCCTTTCCCAGATTCTCCCATTTTTGAAATAGCATACTTACCACAGTGTTGTAAACCTCCACTCTGGTGTTGTTTCCAGTCAACTTTTCTGGCCTTAGCACAACCTAAGAGAGAGAAGAAAGATTAAGTGGCCATACAGAGCTGTAGTGACATTTTCTAACAACCAGGCCAAGTTACATTCTAGTTACAGTTTACAAGCTAACATTAGGAGAGCCGCTACCATTTGTAAGACATCTAGTTGGGAAATTCAGTAACAAAAAGCATCACTCTTAATAGAAACAAGCATTACTGCACTATTGGAGACTATATCTCAACAGCTGAAAACCTGAAGTTCTGCATCTTACATTTTTATTGTTAAATACTCAGGGTAAAAGCAGCACTTCTGTTGAACAACCTAAATTTGTATTCTGCAGACTGCTATACAGTGCTCTTTAGTCAGGAGTCCGTTTAGCCACTTTGCTTGGCAGAAGGAATTCATGGAGCCTTACGGCATATTTCTTGGTTAGTTGTTTGGTTTTTTTTTTTTTTTTACATTTAACCTATAGACATGAGTAAACAGGAGAAATAAAGCATAGTCTGCTTTTGAGACTTAATTTGGTTTTTGCTTCTTACACACAAGCAGCTATGCAAATTGATTCATTCTAACATTCCCACAGATATTGCTGTGCTATTTGGGAACCTCACATAATCTACACTGTAATATAAAGGGCATTTTAAGAGTGGATTACAGATGCTAATCTTGAAGTAAATAAATGAAAACATCCTCTGCTTGCACACCATGAACAGTTCACCCTGTCCTTTACTTGGAAAAGAAGTCCACATGAAAAATGGTCATTTTTCTCCAACTAATTTATTTCTTCAGTGTTACGAAATTGTACAAATGCATTTGCTGGCACGAACGGAAGATCAAAAAGGAGGCCACTGGGAAGGGCAGGACTATTTCTTCCCACAGCATTATCAGATTGCATTAGCTTCTATTCAACAGTGCCAAAATATCACTAATTATTTCAATTATTATTTTCATCCAGGAAGAAAAAGCTAAGAGTTTATATTCCGGATGGCTTTATAGTCATGATAAACATGACAGCAACAGCTTCCTTGTATGAGGGACTAGAAAGCCTCTTAGGCTGCAAGTCACTAAATCTCTTTGGTAAGGCAACAGCGGAATAAATTCACTACCATCTGACATTTGTTCAGAGGCCATGGCAAAACAAAACAAAGCTTTGTAAAACACATGAATCCGTAACAGTTTTTCCACAGGTAGCACATCAGATACTCTCACCAAATGCACAAAGGAACAACTAATGTGCATGAGTATAGATGAGAGAACAGCTGAAACTTAAGTTAGAAGAAGAAAGGAATTACAAGCTGTTTGCACAGCGCTGCCAGTGCAACACTGAGGAAATGAAAGAAACACAATGAAAAGTAGCCAGCCCTGACTGAGCAGATGGTAACAGGAAGAGGCGAGATTTGCAAACTACAGTGACAAAAGTTAGCAGAACTAGAAATCGACAGAGACATAAAAAAGACAGTTGACTGCACACAGAAAAACAGACTGAAAGGAACAGAACCTGGGCGATACAAGTACCCAGGGCATCTTTTACTGAGGGGACAGGCAGGAGAATACAATCTGTTCCATGAGTGAAAAGAGTTCAGCACAGACACTACCAAACCAAAGCAAACAGGGGGTTTGTTTCAGTTTGTTTGTCACAGTAGGTGACACTCAAGTGCTACAATGCATGAGCTGACCCATGGCTTCACATTTCCATATCAGTGCCAACACTCCCAGACCTGTGTGCGCATCCTTACACCCTGGGATTTTAAGTTGAATCTAGGAATATATTACCATGTCATGACACAGTACTGAACCATGCAATCAAGGCTACATGTTCTGCACCCATGACTACTTCCAGAAACTGCTAGCTCAGGTGCAAGAACATCACAGCCTGTTAATGTCAAACACGCACACCTGGAAAGCAAGAGGTTGGAAACCTTCAAAGAAAAAGGCAGACATTATCCTAACAGTGACTTCTGCTCTGTGCAAAAACACAACTGCCTAAGGTATTAAAAATATCCACGACATACAGGGTCAGGTGGGAAGTCCTCGTGAAATGGAATCAAAGGTCTTCCAGAAGAGCAATACTTTCAAATTAGACAGAAAGAAACAGTTAGAGGAATTCAGTGAATGAAAAGACAGACTTTTCCTGTTCACAGCATTGCCAAACTACCAGGAAGCATAGTTTAGTACAGCAAAGAGCATCATAATTATGATTTGCCAACCATATGTTCTTCTAACTGAATTAAATCTGAAAATGAAAAATAGAAGTAACATTGGAAAAGAAGAAAACTTGGAAGAGCGATCAGATGCACATCCACCTACACTGACAAGGCTGAAAAGCAGCTATGGGTTTCCTGATACCCATACATTACAGAGAAGCACATAGAACCTCTACATAAAAAAGGTGTATGATACAAGATCCAGCTTTTTCATGTACTGCAGATTTCTTAATTTGCAACTTACGTTACAGCACACAGTTTTCCTTCAACTGGTATAAAAATCTTAATGCTAACGCATTTCAAATGCTGAAATATAACTGTAATAGGGTTTTGACAGAACTTGTCACAAACGTGATGCTAGTTTTGACAAAAAAACACGTATAACGGACTACTTATCAAGTACTTTTATGTGCTCATGAAGAAACACTGAATTCAGAGAACAAGTGCTGCCCATGCACTATCTCCTCGCTCCCTACGGCGCGAGTGGCGGACATGCTATGTGTGCACAGGTACGCTCAGACTCGGTTTTCCACTGGTGTGCGGGGCCCTCTTGCAACACGGCGCTTTGTTTTGCTCAGCTGGAAGTTTAAGCAACTCCGGGTTTCAGGGCTGCCCCGGGTGGCTCTGCTCGCCTGAAGCCTCCCGCGTTACCTCTCCCGACAGGTACCACTCGGACGCGGCCACGGGGTGAAGTCACACTG